TAGGCACCCTAGTGTTTTCGATAAATCTTATAAAATGTGTCGTATCTTTAAGATACGAGTCTTGTATTTGTGCTATTGGCTGAAGTAGCTTGTCTACAAAATTGTTGCACCAACAATGTTGGGAGTTGTTGCATGTGTGTTGGCAGTGGTGTGCAAACGGGTGCAACAACTCCCAACAATGTTAGGACCTGCAGTGCATCGTGGGAAGGATACAACCCATAAGTCTTTGTAAACCATAAACGTGCGCGGCCCCAACAATGTTGGAAGAGCTGTGCAAATGGATCCAACATCGTTGCGCTACGCTTCGGCGATCACAGAACAAAAGAAATGTTGGGAGTTGTTGGCTAAAAAGTTTGACCGGTTTCAAACTTTGCGCAACAACATTCAACAACATGCAACAGGGTGTGCAAACGGACGCAACGAGTAACATCCAACAATGTTGGGAGTTGTTGGCCACATTGTTGCGTCCGTTTGCACGGGGCTTTAGGCCCAAGTTTTGTAATGCCTTGCTTTATGGCATTGTTGTCATGTTCTGTGTCTTCATCAAGTGGGATATTAGCACCTTTTTTACCACTGTTGTTGACAGAGCGGTTCCAAACAAACCGCTCACTGTCTCTTTGCGATAACAGTCCACGCACTAGGAAAAACTGATACAAACATTCTAGTGCATACTTTGTGCTGTGTGATCCATCGGCCTTACAATATAGCGTGATGTACTTGTATTGCCGCATAATCTGTGCACCATCCCCTTCTTTAATTACATCAAGAAAATTGAAAAATAAAAAGCAATCTGTCCGAAGTGCACAGTTATAGTTGGACACATCATCACCTGCTTTGGTCTCTTCTGGAGGGGCTGTCGTCCAGGTGAAGATTGGGTCAGTAACAAAGAATCATCAAACTGAACAGGTGGATCATGGGACAGTTCATGGTTGCTTCTTGTTTTGCCATTGTACTTGAAGGACTTGTTGCACCCTGGGAATCTGCAGGGAAATCTCCCCTCGGCGGTAAGTTCTTGCTGCTGCAAAATATCTTTCTCCTCTTCAGTCAAAACTCCATCCACTAGTTTTTGCAATTCTTCACCCGACTGGAAAATGAAAGAATCAACCACCTTTTCAGAGATTGTATGGAGGAACTCAAGTTTCTCGGCTTTTCTCATTTTCTCCATGTCTTTTAGTAGAGGGTAGTGTGCTGGGGCACTTGATTTGTCAGCAAATCCCAACACTGTCATTGCAGCTGTGATCACTTGTGAATGGAAAATGATATGGAGAAAGTCCCTGTTTGTTCGGTAAGAAGAATGAGGATCACCTGTTACGTTCCTCCTGTTGATAAGTGTGCGGTCTGAGAAAGGGGTGCAGAGATCGGAATCTGACTTGCCACCTGAAGAGTCTGGAGTATATTAGCTGTTGAAAAAACAGCTAAAACTGTTGAAAATGATGAGTACTTGTTGGTTTGATAGGTGTCAGGTAAAGATAGGGGGAAATTCCAATAATAATTTATAAGTTAATATAGCAAAGATCAGAATGCCTTTCATTATTATCACTGCTATTAAGAATCTTCTCATCTTTTAATGCCTGAGTTAAGACAATCTGGGGAGGTAGGAACCCCAGTCAGAACAAACTTGCCTAAAAAAAGACACTCATTTGACAAAGTTAATTTAAGCTAATAATTTATTGCCCTAACTAGCTATTAATATTTGTGGTACTTACACTGAGAACTTTCAAGGCTGCTTGCCAGTCACCCAACTGAAGGTTAATGCCTTCCAAACGATCCTGTGGAGTAAGACCATTTGCCACAGAGGAAATGACATTAACTGCCCTTTCGACTGTTAGTTGGTCACCGGAGAATAGCTGACCATCAACACCACCATCACCAGTTTTTGGAAGGTAGGAAAAAAATTGCTGCATGGTGGACACCATGTCCTCATTGTTATTCTCATTTTTGAACATGATGCCAAGTGGAACCTGAAAAGTAAACATCATTGAGCTTTCAAAGATAATTAAAACCTCATGTTGTTATTTTAAGACTTGAAAACCTTACTAGGGCAGTAAACAAACCACATCACAAACAGAATGGTGTAGTTACTAAAACAATAATATTTTGAGTACCTGCGGCCACATATCAACCATCAAGCCCTTATAAAAGAATCCCAAACCTGTTATCTAACAGTAATATTTATTACGTATTCATTCATTCATGTATAAATTTAATTTACATATTTTTTTCTTGGACGTAATTTCTGAAAAATTGATGATTATAAACTAATCCTACTTTTAGCCAAAGTTATTCTCCCCTAGTGTTGTGGGGTGTTCATCTAGTACATAATTGTAAGGAAAGCAAAAGAATGCATGCTTTCTAATATACAGTCAAACCTGTGTATAAGGGCCCTGTATGTAGCTTTCACCTTGTGTATTACGGACACAGAACAAATTCCCCACAATTTAATTTGGCCTTATATTTTCTGTACCTTTATAAAGCGGCCACCCTGTATATAACGGTCACCTGGCCATAAATAGATGTTAATGTTCATGGTATAGGTCAGTAGTCACGTTATTAAGGCGTACTAGATAATACTTTTACACATTAAAAAAAAATACCTTCTTAGACTTCTGAGCCATTTCATTTGTGTATTTGTTGGGGATATGAAGGATGCATGCATCCTTCAGAGGAGCCAAAACATCAAAGTAGTCAACCAGGATCCGTGATGTGAGAGTATAATATGGTTGGATCGTTGTCGCTGTTGGTCATCGAGAGTAGGAAGAAATTTGAGGTTTGAAACTTCCTCGAGGTTTGCCTGCGGTCCTTTCGATTTGAAATGAGCCCCAGACACACGGTTCTCAATCATCTGGTGATTTACCCAGTGGTAATCCCGGTTTTGTGATTCCATTGACCTATTTTCCTTTGCAACTGAATATCCAAATCGTCAAATGAAATAACAAAACCAGGATTACTGGACTTCTCCAACTCAAATGCTTGTTTCTTCAGTACAGACGATTCTTCACTGCAGTTACATGTTGATCCAGAAGAAAGGTGAGAAGAATGCACATTACTTGAACTATTGATCTCTTTTTTAAGCAGGTGCAGATCTTCATTTTCCTTTTTAATCCTCTCTCTCGTCTCTTTTGGATAGCTGTCATGGTTTTCACCCAGTGTATTGCCGTGCTTTTGGACAACGAGAATTTAATAATAATAATACTATTATAATAATATTAATAATAATAAAGTATGCCTTAATTTTAATGCCTCCCAAAATCAACTAATTCGTGATAACTTCCGCGAGAACATTAGGTAAGTGGTAAATTTTATCGATGGTCATGCCGGGCTAGCGTGGGAATGAAATCGGCACACTAGTCCGCCCGCAGTGATAACTTTATTCAGCGGCATTTCACGAAAAAATATTGTTTTCTTCTAAGATGGCGGAACTTATCGTGAGAGTTCACGAAACTGTTGCTTCTTACATTGCAAATGTGGAAGATAAAAATCTAGCGACCGACATTGGCAATGAAGTTTTACAACTTTCAAGAGCCGTCGTCAAACATCACAGGTTTCCCGAACAACAACGCTACAAATACTATTTGGCGCAGCCATTGAGAATGTTAGCTAGAGACGTTTACAGGTGAAATAAAAGTATTTGCAGATTTATGAAACGTTCTCCGTCACTTCAGCATCCCTGGGAAATAAAACTTTAAAAAAACCTTCCACTGGAGCTGTTTTATACATTGAAGTCGGCTGTTATTGCCTTTGGCTGGCGACAAGTGTCAAAAAGTACCCGTTTTTGTAGTTCAATAAAGACACTTTAGTTCAAGAACGACAACAAAGTTCAAAAACAACTACATGAGTTCAGAAAATGACACAAGCATTACTAAAACCCAGTGCCTCCTTGCTTCACTGTCTATACTGATAAATTATATTCTACAACGCTCAGTCATTGCTATGGTTTATTGCAGATGGCTTTTTGCAGATAGATTAACAAATTCTTATTTAGTTATTGGTTATTGGTCCAAGAATAGACATTTGTATATAGGTTGATAGGTTCGCATCTAGTTTCGGGTTATTATTTAGTTATTGACTCCAGAAGGGAAATTTGTATTTAAATTATTTTGTTAATGCACGTGAAGTTTTAAAGTTGTAAAAAAAAGGGGGTGTATATTTTTTTGCTAGTGGGGGAGGGGGGCGGGATTAGTTTGTGCTGTAGTTTATGGTGTAGTTTAGGGAGTTGGTGTGGAAAACATTATATTATTAGGTCTAAGAGATGTTGAATACTCGATATGGGATTATAGTGATAATAATGTCTACATTTATAGAGATGTTAACGTGTAATTCGGGGTTATATAGATGTTACCATGTAATTCAGGGTTATATTGTCTATATTTATTTATTTTCTATACCTGGATTTTTGTATATCTATAAATCTCTTTTTAATTTAATTTTATCGGCCAGGTTTCAAAATGAAGTGCTTCCTAGAACGAGAAGGCTCTGTGGATGGTGAGGACTGAAGCTAGTGCCTGGTGGTGAAGAATGTTTGCTGTGTAAGGTGGAGGGGGTGCCTATCAATTGGAAGCCTGTACAGAACCAGTATGGGTGATAGATTTCACAAGGATAGTGGTGTAATCTAGGAAAGCGGTGGATGGAGGCATAGGTGTGGATACGGTGAAAAAGAAAAATATTCTTCAGGATGCGAGAAATATGTTTTTTTGCTACATATTCAGTACAGGTTCGTCTTAGGACACAACTATTAAGGACCTCGTATACCATTATTTTACAAATAAACACAATTTGTATTGGAAAACTCGTTTTGTACAATAAATTTTACCAAAGGTCATGCTGTTGTTTGAATTTCCTTTTATATTTTTCTATTTCTTGGTTTCTGCCAAAATGTGGCTGGCCAAGCGGCCTAGCTGCCCCGACATTAGCTGTAGTTGGGCAGCCACCCGCTTGGCATCTACGGTGGCATTCCTAATTTCTTTGGCTTTTTGTATCAATTTTTCCTCCTTTTCCTTCAGCTCCTTTTCCTTCTTTTCGAATTCTTTTTTTCCTCTCTTCTATTTCTATTGCAGCCAGGCAACTGCGGACCTCAATCTCCTCCTCTGGGGACAGCTGCAAAAGCGATTAACCCACCCATATAGCTTTTCTATTATTTGTTAGCTTATTTTACAGGACTGCACGATAATGTGATACGATGAACTCATCCTTTTAAACAAAAAGCATCTTAGTTCAACAAAATGTTGAAAGCCTTGTCTCATCAGGAGCTCAGAAGGCAATCAAGAAAACAGGTTAGGGAGGGGAGGGAAGAGAATATGCCGTAGGGGAATGGGGCAGGATTCGGTGAAAACCTGTTTCCACACGTTTCGACGCAATTATGGTACCATTTGGCTGAGCCCTACGTGTCTTTTGTTACTTAAAGATGCTCCTTGCTATATCTAAAAATCTCATACCTGGATTTTGGGCTGTTTGGCCTTTGGGCAGTTTGGAGTGTCCATGTCGTTGGTCTATAGCGGGAGAGGGTGAGTAAAATTTGGTCTAGTTCTTTACATTATTTACAAATTTAGTCTTAGCGTAAACACAGAAGGTTATGTGTTATGGAGGCTTACCTTTCTTCTGCTGTCTGGTGTACGTGAGGCTTGTATATGGGAGTTTTGATGGTCTGAGGAATCACTGTGGGTTACGCGATTGCATTGATTACGCCAAGTTTTTTTAAAAATTCAAAAAGTTGCATCTCGCTCCAGTACGTGTCGCGTGCTAAAAAATGCTAAGCGACTGAATATTTGTATACTTTAAAATACTCCTATGCGCGAGCAGACGTTAAGTTTGTTTGTAAGTTTGTCCGTTAGTGAAATTTACGTATGTAAAAGTTGCAGAGGATGCTAAGATAACAGAATGACAATTTACAAGTCTGGCATGAAAAGGTTATCAAATCTCGTTTTATTACTTCTTGCTTGAGGACTGATTTACAAAGAATTGACAAACTATATGGTAGATTAGCTAGGTGTAGCGTTGAGCTGTACAAATTGAGGAAGGAAGTAGATGTTGAATATATATCTGTTAGCGGTGTGGTGACATGTCAAGACGAAAAAACAAGACAGGATTTTACAGAGAAAGAGAAAGATATAGAGTTGGAGATAGCTACCCTAAAGAAATCTGTGGATGACATTGTTTCAAGCAGGACGAAACTAATTACCTCTGAATTATTACAGTGAAGCAGGACGAAACTAATTACCTCTGAATTATTACAGTGGAAAAATAAGAGAGGGAGAGACTATTTCACTAAACAAAAGGACAGAAGGCACATTAGAGAAGGTCATGTGATAGTTGGAGAATTGAAACTCACCTTGAGTTGTTATTTAAACCTTGTAAAGGAAAGGGACGCTCTAGTATCAAATGACTTGCAGGTTCTAATTTATGAAGATAGAGTGAAGGATGAACATCTTGCATATGAAAAAGAAAGGCAGCGGGATAGAGAGAATTTGCATAATTTCACAACTAGAGTTGTATCTAGAGATGAGAAGCAGATTCTGAACAATGGTGGTGGATTTGTTTTGAAGGACAAAACGATATTAGACGACAAGAGGAAGCACCGCATAGTGAAACGTCAGACTGAACTGGCTGTATTAAGTTATGTTGAATACTTAGCTGGTTTAAAGGTGAAAGGCAGGAGAATGAGAGGGGGAGGTAGTAGGGTGAATGTTAGGAAAGAAATTATGCGCTACTTTTTTCATCCTAGGGTAGGCTATTTAGAGAGAAGGTTTATTAATAAGGCTTTAAAATTAGCTGATTTTTATAGTATCAAGTCTGTTAGAAGCAATGTATCTCT